CATTAATGACTCTCCCTCATGTCGCTCCAAGCCCGTAAGACCTCCGTTCATCTTCGGAACACAGTTTAAGATATTTTAGATTTAGTCCGAGAGCTTTCTGTCCCTCCATTGAAAATGTATGTACGGTATACTGTCCTTGTCCAGAAAGGAAATAAAGACATCATCAAAGTAGTCCATGTGACATCAGTGGGTTAGTTAGAGTGTGTTGAAGCATCGGAAATACATTTTGGTCCAAAAATAACAAAAACTAGGACTTTATTCAGCATTGTATTGTCTTCCGGTTCTGTTGTGGATCCGCGTTCAGTGCCGCTACTGCATACCTGCCAACCTAGAAGAAATGTTATGAGTACAACCCCCCCGTCATATATTTTTGTCCTTATTTTGAGAATGCAAGACACACACAGACACATGCCTATCTTCATAATTCTAAAGGTTTTTTAATTTGAGACAAATACAAAATTTAACTTGCACTGCAATGCAACAGTGAAAGTCCAAAGTTTCAATCCTACTCAACACTATTTCTTTATTCATGATTGATATTGTATTCCATATAATCTGTGCTGGTCAATTAGTCTAAAATTAAGAAACCCCTAGATAACAGTAATAAAAAAAAAAAGTAATAAAAAAAATAAAAAAAACTGTGTGTAGCCTACATGTTATTTATTTTAAATTGGCTACTTAATTTAATATTCCAATATACAAATATGATATTAAATCCCACAGGGAAAAGGGCTTATATTTGTGACGTGCTGTTTTTGCATTTGAACATTAGGCTACAAACAGGACACACATTAGCTGAATAAACTTTAGCCAATCCAAACATATTTATAGAAAACAGTTAACATTGAATAGACAGGAGTCCTGTCACATGACCAATAATATAAGTGTTTGAATAAGACGAATCCGACATGAGGGCTGTTAACAGTAAAGCGTCCGTCATTTAACGAATTTTAAAAACACGAATGGAAAAAGCTTTGACATTTTGACATAAAAGAACTTTGCCTGTCAATTTTTATTGTATAAATATCTTCTCTCTCTGTGTGCGCGAGTCTTTGTTTGTGAGAGAGCTCGCGCAGCACTGATACATGATAGGCTATCATACAACGGTCATTTTTAATCCATAAATTCGCCAACTAACTCGCTAGTTTTCATTCAAAATAAATATGTAACATAATTCGGTACTTTAGTAAACATAATACATAACGACACGTAACACATGCGATACGTTTCTCAACACTGATAATGAAAAAATAAATGCCTGTTTCTCCGGATTCAGTCATCCACACATCACAGCACTTTCATAATCACTAAGACATAGCGATTTCAATTTTATTTAGATTTATTGTTCAACATTACTTGAGCATTTTAATAATTTGCATGGCTGAATGTCTTTCTATCTGAGTTACCATGAATGAATTACGGAGTATTTTTTTTAAATAATCCATGCGATCACTCCCGTCCCGTGTGATGACCAATCCATTTTAAAATGAACTCAAATACAATATTTCAACTTTCCACATCCACCCCAGTCCGTTTACCTTCAGGAGTCAGAAGTACCGTGACTGTAGGCCGACTGTCCTCGCTTAAATCAGTCAGATGGCGGGCGCGTGCGAGTGGAGCGTGGATTCTTTATTGGTGTCGATTTTCAGTGTCTTTTTAATTATAGGACTTACGCATCTGTCAATCATCTCCGCTTGCAATGTGGGGAATGAACCCAGCGCTATGATTGGTCGAACTCTTCTTCTTTTGCTATTGCTTGATTTGAGGACTGCGCGTGCAAAGAGGCGTCACCAGGTTTTTGCGTAGTTTAGAGTGACAAATCGTACCAGCGAACTTTGAGGTCAAAATGCGTGCCCGCTACACAAAATGCGTACATGTTGGCAGGTATGCTGCTGACGTAAGACGCTGCTGACGTGTGTCTGGTGTGTGTGTGTGTGTGTGTATTCTGGTTCTGTTGTGGATCCGCGTTCAGTGCCGCCGCTGACGTAAGACGCTGCTGACGTGTGTCTGGTGTGTGTGTGTGTGTGTGTATTCTGGTTCTGTTGTGGATCCGCGTTCAGTGCCGTCGCTGACGTAAGACGCTGCTGACGTGTCTGGTGTGTGTGTGTGTGTATTCTGGTTCTGTTGTGGATCCACGTTCAGTGCCGCTGCTGACGTAAGACGCTGCTGACGTGTGTCTGGTGTGTGTGTGTGTGTATTCCGGTTCTGTTGTGGATCCACGTTCAGTGCCGCTGCTGACGTAAGACGCTGCTGACGTGTGTCTGGTGCGCCCGAGCTTCGTTTACAGTCTGAGGGAGACGTACGCTGGAAACAAAACAATCTTCGCAAACATGTCTAAGGATTTCCACACAGAGGAAGACTTGCATTTTTTTCCCAGCCATATTTATTTGAACCCGAATACACGGACGCACCAGACACACGTCAGCAGCGTCTTACGTGAGCTGCGGCACTGAACACGGATCCACAACAGAACCGGAAGACAATACAATGCTGAATAAAGTCGTAGTTTTTGTTATTTTTGGACCAAAATGTATGTTTGATGCTTCAAAAAATTCTAACTAACCCACTGGTGTCACATGGACTACTTTGATGATGTCTTTATTTCCTTTCTGGACAAGGACAGTATACCGTACACATTTACAATGGAGGGACAGAAAGCTCTCGGACTAAATCTAAAATATCTTAAACTGTGTTCCGAAGATGAACGGAGGTCTTACGGACTTGGGACGACATGAGGGTGAGTCATTAATGACATTATTTTCATTTTTGGGTGAAATAACCCTTTAAATAAAAACTAGTAGTCATAAGCCACTTTTCCACTGTGAGGCCAGGGCAACCCAGGGCAAACAGCGTGCCGGGAGGGGGCCAATAGCCTCGGACCTTGAGCACCGAGGCCAAAATCAAGTTGCGTTGCATAGAAATTTTAATTAATCAGGCATGTGACACTGGAACCATTTTTCTAATTCTAAATTAAATTCACATATACTCACATCATCTTCAAGAGACTGAATCAGGCTCTTGAGTTCTCCAATGTCTTTGGCTTGGTACAACCGCAAAAATCCTTTCAGGTACTCATCAAGCCCATGGAAAAAGGTCGTCTTAAGGTCTGTGGACACTATGCGTCGAAATTCTGCAGCAATCTAGTAAAATAGCAGACCCACAATTAGAATATTACAGTTTTGTTTTTTTTAACAATTGCTAGGACACATTTCTCAATACTTGGGTCACTTTTTCAGTTTATAATTCAAGGCAATACTGTATTACAAAAGTAACCCATGTTTTTGTAAAGATAAACCTGTCTCTCGGTAAATAATAGAGATGCACCGATTACAATTTTCTAGCCCGATCCCGATTTTTCCTTGAGTTTGACCTGCCGATACCGATTTGAGCCGATTCGGATTTCATTTTTTCAAACCACTTTACAGCACACACAAATATTTATTTTCTATCTTCTCTTTAATAGAACATTTTGCATAGAACATTTATTGTTAATATCTTTACACTATAAAGATATTTATCACACTCACACACACAGGCCTATTGCAATCACTTGTAACTTACATCAACGGCAAGTTATAGCCTATTTCTCAAACAGTTCTTCTCTTTTCTGTGAAAAGAAATGGTTCTTCCATAACACTGCACTTTAGATGTGTGTGAATTTCCCACACCAGTAGTAATTTATATAGTTCTATTTTATAGTGATTATCTGTTAAAAAAAATGTGTTCTAAGCAAAATGTTCTATAAAAGAGAAGATTAAAAATAAATATTTGTGTGTGCTGTAAGGTGGTTAGAAAAAATTAAATCGGCAAAATTATAATAAATTTAAACTATTTTCGGACCTTTCCCCGCCTATACATTAAATTAATATGACAAAACCAGTTGTGATAGAGACATATTATTGAATTTTAAAATTACTTACCATAAACAGCCTAAGTTTGCAGAGAAGCAAATGGCTCCTTCCCCAGGTCTGGTCCAAGATACGTCGTGTAACGTTAATTGGCAAACATGTTCAAAGCTCAACAAGTCTGAAATATTACATAAAAAGATTCATTTGAACACTTATTGCTTCAGAAACATAAGTATAACAGTTCAATCTCTATTACTTAACGTTATTGCCGTTTCCTTCTCTTAAAGGAAACGTCAACTTAACCTGAATGCGTTAACGTTAGCAGCACGGCCATTCGTTTAATCACGACGAAAATGAAAAATAATTAAACTATTATTATTGATCGGGATTCTTTTAAAGTTGAATCGCTTCACTAACAGCCTAACTAAACCGTAACGTAAAAGATGACATAACCCAGCTGGCATATGACCGACCTTCAACGTTGAAATATGGTTGAAATAATGTCAGTTGTTGTTTCAACGTTGAAACAACGTTGATATAACGTTTAATGCTAAATGGTTGAAAAATGTTAACAAAACACTTCTAATTCAACGTTGAAATTTTTACAAGATCTGTACGTTAAAACAACGTAATGTTTTCAACAACATACAACAGAAATATCTGCCTTATAAAGTTTTATTATGATCATTATTAGCATTTAATGATATTCTGATAATACAGCCTTTCAATGAATATGTTAAAATATAATTATTATCATCATTATAGACAACTCTCCAATAATTTCAATCTCAAGAGTGCAGCAGAAACTTTTTGCTTTATGTAATTTTGTGTGGATTTACAATACGGTGTGCTTACCTAACAGTTTACCATGCATTATTATTTTTTTTTATTCATACACTGTCATGAAAACACCATTTGACCAATTAATTAAATAAATACAGACTGCAAATAAAACTAAATACACTATACACATTTCACTACGTTACCACGCTGAAACTACTGTTATTGGTTGTTTCACTGGTTTACTTTGATCATGATTGGTTAATCTTTCTGTCTTCCAGGAAACTAGCCAATGACAATATTCGCGCCTATTTTAAGTTTGAAAATACGTCCGTTACTGTTTGAGTCGGTGTGTGAGGTGAGCAGCTGCTGATTATTACCCGGTCGGACACATTATTTTATAAATTCTTGTTAAATTCTTATTTTGAGCGAATGTGAGTTGTGATATGTCAATGAAGGACAAAAGCTGGAATGTGAACAGAGGAAGGGGTCGTAACGTTACGTGGTCTGTAAAAATACTGGTGATATCACTTCAGGTGAGAACACATTTATCATTCTTTAACAGTCTAACGTTAACGTTAAACGTTATGTTCCTGTCCTTAATGTATGTACGTTACCACAGTTTCATTTTAGATAAATAAATATGTTAACAAATATCAATACATGTTTAAAAGGTATTAACGTTACATTGAAATCTGTTGAAAAGAGTGTACATTTAGTTTGTGGGTAACGTTAGATTAAATAATGCTATAAGCGGATAATCACCCGTTAATGAAGATCAATATCTTCTTTTTTTACTGTCTGTAACTTACACAAGAGTTTTACAAACTGGTAACGGACATGGGCCTAATGCAGCCTTATAAGTTACCTCTGTGAGTGTTTTTGTACTGCTTTAGTGAAGCGCGCTAGAGATATTATTAGCACTTATTCATGTATCTTAACGTTACCATCTGACACTGCTGTGTGTTGTTGTTGGTGGTTTGTATTAGCTCAAACGCATGAGAGGTAATTAGTCTCGGAATGAATAAAGTGATAAAATCGTAATTTATTCGTTAGAACTAGAAGTACATACCGTAACCTCTTCGACCACTGATAACTGCCAATGATTATATTTGTTTACATTTTTTAGGTCAAGCATTGGAATAAGATTTTTTCGGGGGGAGAACACCCAAATAGAGACAAATCCACTAACTACAGTAAGTTTTTTTTTTTTTTTTTTTTTTTTTTGTCAATTTTATCCACTCTTTCGAAAACCTACACTGGGATTAATATAAAGTATTAAGTATGATTCTCATCATCAAAGTAAGACATTTACTGATAGAAAGTCTGAGTAACTTTTTGTACTTTTGTCTGTCTTCCTCTGAAGTGGCACAGTGAAAGGTCATGTCACCTTCATCAGTCCTTTATTTAATTAACTGGAAAACATTAAAGACTCTCAGACATGTCATAACAGGATAAAGGCTGCAGGTAACATATTATGGCTTGATTTTGGTGTACCAATTGGCTTTTTTGTGTGCTTCCCTTTCTATGATACACATTTTTCTGATGGGATTGCCATGCTTTAAGTGTACGTTTACATTTTAATCATGTAATAACTAACAGTCTCAAAGATGACAGTATACTCTGTTCATGTTGTGTGAATGTGTTATAATGGCAAACGTTTGTAGTATTAAAGCTGCCGTCGGCAACATTTTTTTGATCATATTCAGTGAAATCGACACTATAATCTGACAGAACAACATAAATAAAGTGGTTTTAGAAAAAAACCCGAGCTTCTAACTCCACCTGGAGCGTGTTATTATCAACTCGACTGTAATTGAACAGTAAAGTGAAAATCTTGTACATTATTTTGTATTCAGTTTTAACTGTTTTTGCTTTTATTTATAGGCTACAGGATCGTACAGAGAGTGGACCAGAAGTGAAGAGGGAACGAGAGGAAGCGTTGGCATCGGACCGGACCTTGAGCTGGGACTCTGCTAGAGCAATGCACAAGGCTGTCGCATTTTATTGAGATGCTAAGCTTTTTCTACTGTTACTGTACATTTTAAATATTAAATGTATTTCATCTAAGTTTTACTGTAATTGAACAAAAACTGTCTTTTAAATATTCCATTCAGATTTGTACTTTACTTTAACATTACGTTGAAAACACTGCAAGTTAAAGTTTGAGATGTAGAAAGTATTTTTTAGACTTTTTTGTTTTGTTTTCCAAAATAAAACTTGTTTTACAATCTTGAGCATGTGCTAACTCTTTATTAAATGTGTTTGTAATTAAGCCATTGCTGTCAGTCATTTGACATTAAACAATTTTTTAGTGTAGGCTACAGTATGTACAGTTAATCACTAAATCAGTTAGCACTGGCATGATCGTGTTCCAAATTACATTGTAATTGAATGTACAATTGTATTCTCCCATGTTGAAAGGTAAGACAGTGAAACAACGTCACGATAGCAACGTTGATTCAATTTGCAAAATCGAAGCATAATTCAACGTTAGTTCAACTTCGACATACAACCTTTATTCACCCATATTGAAAGAGGAGACCGTGAAACAACGTCGCGACATCAACGGTGAAACAACATAATGCTGTCAACGGTGAAACGACGTCGCAAAATCAACGTTGATTCGATTTGCAAAATCGAAACATAATTCAATGTTGATTCAACTTTGGTCCCTGACGTTGATTCACCTGTGAATCAACGTTAAAATGCCAGCTGGGAAGAAACACAATAACTTTCAAATAACCTCAATGGAAACTTCTGGAATTTCTGAGGCAAAATTATTAACTTAGCATAACGTTAGATTTAAACCATCTTCTGATTTTTCGCTGCCTAGGAAATAAATTTCATTACCCTTAGACAAAACCAGTCTATAAATACATTGCATTTTAAAATTACTTACCATAAACAGTCTTGTTTCCTTGCTTCTGAAGCAGCTGAAGAGAAAATCGCGCCTTCTCTTTCAAGTGTCGCTACATTTATAGAGAATGGAAGGATCTGGATTATGGCTCACTTGATTTTGCGGAAGGATACAGCATTCGACTTCGCGGGTTTTACAAGGCAGTGGCTCGGCTGCGGACCGGTAGCTACTGCGGGTGAGGGAGACATTGGCAAAGGCGTTCTTAACTCAAGGTAAGTGGCTCTGAATAAATGATCGATTTTAAACCTAATAACGACAAAAATGTACAACATATGTGATGGTTTTTTGTTGTTACGTCACGGATTTAGAAATGTTTTTATTAGTTATGTCCGAGAGAAAGTTAACTTAAGTGTAACGTTAGGCCTAACTTATGTCAAGTTCACTCGGCACGGAATATGTTAAATTATAGAATATGTTCAAGTTTATCGACAAAAACATATTATGTACACCATATACGTACAACGTAAACATATTAGTTGTTTTTGTGTAGATATTTATAAGCGTAAGTTACATTTCATAACGTTAAGCCGAACGTTATGTCCGAGGGGAAGGCTGCCATATAACGTAACTTACGTTTAGCTACCTCGTTTAAATCCTAAAACATGTCAAATGTAAGTTAATACTATAATGTGTAATAGCTTTAATTTCGGGATGTTTTATGATATTTTTTGTGTTTCCGTAACGTGAAGAGTTGATATGAAGAGAACGCGGTCTTTCATCATTTTAGCCTAATGTCACGTTAGGCCCACTTTTATGGATGCGACGAGTTATTGAAATCTATGAAACGTGTAATGTTAAACACATTAATACGCTATTTTATGGTAACTGAAGCGTGATGAATAAGGTTAAGATTGTGAAAACTTTTGCAATTGTCTCGTGGAGAGACCGACATAAACCTGAATATCTAACGGTCCAGCTACGATAAAATGGCGCTCATTTTGAAACAGCGTTTTGACTCCTTGAGGACGGCATTTCATAAGGCCGTTATCAGTGGGTGTCTCGATAAGCTGCCTAGGTCGTGAATCAGCTAATACTATTATTTTGTGTACTCAAATTCGTGCACTGGTAATTGATTTATATTAGTGATCACATAACCTTGGATTAGAGTTCTTACATTTTTTAAACGCTTTATTGTATAGCCAAGTATATTTCAATTATAAATTTAACATTTAGCTGTTGAAAATTCGTTGAAAAATAAGTTCAAGTAGGCTAGTTTTGATGAACAGTTGTTTTTATTATCTCTTATAACAATTCATCTTTTTCCCTCCCATTTATTCATCTATCCTATGTGGTTCAAACCAGAGAGGCGATGATGTGGAGAGGCAGACCAGAGGGATGCAAATTGGTCTCCTTGAGACAGTCATTGATGCTGGAGGCCTGGATTCAGTGGTGGAGGAAGAAGTTCTACTAAACGTTTCAGATGTACCAACTGCCTTTGGAGTGCTTTTTGGACTGCTTTACACTCTATATATTGATTACCCCAAACAGTGGAAGTACCTTTTTGAAGCAGTGCAAAAGGTATTTCTGGGTCTCGACAGAGTTAGTGTTCCGCTCTTGTTTAGAGGTCAAGAGGTGGTGCAGGGATGACATCAAAACCCCAAAGACTAATTCGCCACTGGTTCCCTCAAAATATTCCTATGCTTAAAAAAAATAAATAAAAAAAATAGATTTTTTCAATTTGTTAGTGAAATAAGGTTTGTGGTAAACAAGTTGATGACACTTAGATATTTTATTCTACAATGTTAAGACAATGATAAAAACGTTTGGGGTGTATGTGTGTGTAGTTTACATTGTAGAACAGAAAATCCATTCAAGTATTGTCAAATTGTGTTTACCACAGAGCTTATTTCACCAATAAACGAGGAACCAATGTCGAATTAGACTTTCGGGTTTTGACATCATCCCTGCACCTCTCTTGAGTGTTACGATGCCAAATATTCGGTTGTTGTTTTTCAATACTTTTTATACTTATGAAATATCTCGGACACCATTTTGTTACCAGTTGTTGTTGTTGTATTCTTTTTAGTGGTCAAATCACTTAATCACGATTAATCCCATCTAACATAAAAGTTTGTGTATAATGTGTGTATGTATATATATATATAATCTTTTTTATATATATGATATATACATGTATATGTGTGTCTGTGTGTGTGTATATATATACACACACAATATTGCCAAAAGTTTTGGGACGTCTGCCTTTACAAGCACATGAACTTTAATGACCCCATTATTAATCCGTAGGGTTTAATTTGGAGTTGGCCACCCTTTGCCACTATAACAGCTTCAACTTTTCTGGGAAGGCTTTCCACAAGGTGTAGGAGTGTGTTTATAGGAATTTTGACCATTCTTTTAGAAGCGCATTTGTGAGGTCAGGCATTGATGCTAGACCTGGATAACAGTTTCTTATTCATCCCAAAGGTGTTCTATCGGGTTGAGGTCAGGACTCTGTGCAGGCCAGTCAAGTTCCTCCACACCAAACTCTTCATCCATGCCTTTATGGACCTGCTTTTTGCACTGGTGCGCAGTCTTGTTGGAACAGGAAGAGGCCATCCCCAAACTGTTGAGTGTAAAGTTTGGTGGAGGGGGGATTATAGTGTGGGGTTGTTTTTTCAGGGGTTGGGCTCGCCCCCTTAAGTTCCAGTGAAAGGAACTCTTAAAGCTTCAGCATACCAAGACATTTTGAAAAATTTCATGCTCCCAACTTTGTGGTAACACTTTGGGGATGGCCTCTTCCTGTTCCAACAAGACTGCGCACCAGTGCACAAAGCAGGTCCATAAAGACATGGATGAAGAGTTTGGTGTGGAGGAACTTGACTGGCCTGCACAGAGTCCTGACCTCAACCCGATAGAACACCTATAGGATGAATTAGAGCAGAAACTGTTATCCAGGTCTAACATCAATGCCTGACCTCACAAATGCGCTTCTAAAAGAATGGTCAAAATTCCTATAAACACACTCCTACACCTTGTGGAAAGCCTTCCCAGAAAAGTTGAAGCTGTTACAGTGGCAAACGGTGGACAACTCCATGTTAAACCCTACAGATTAAATAATGGGATGTCATTAAAGTTAATGTACTTGTAAAGGCAGACGTCCTTACATATACCCACATGTGCACACATATAATATATATAAAAATATAATTATAAATATATATAAACACAAACTTTTATTTTAGATGTGATGAATCAACTTGACAGCACTAATTATTTTATGTATTAATTACTTGTAGAGTTTGTAGTTCCCTTTCGAGGGAACTCGCGATGCGTCACTTGACGCTTTGGGAACGCCCCCAGCGTGAATGCGTCTGAGCATCAATGTCAACTAGTCCAATGGAAAGAATGAGCGTCACGGGCGGGTGACGTCATGACCAGAAAGGCATAAGAGCACATCCGGTGAAACGCGGCATTAGCTTCTGTGTCTCAGCAAGCGATCTGTGTCATTTTGTCTCTGTCTATTTAGTGTTGTCTGTTGCGGAAAAGGATGGAAACTAAACAA